GAGTGCATTGAGGTTGTGCACAAATTTTGTCACCACAGCTCGTATAAATTGCACCGAAGTGCCACATAGAATGTCCCAAAGGACCACATAGATGTCCCGAAGGACCGCGTAAAAATGTCCCGAAGGACCACGTAGAATTGTCCCGAAGGACCGCGTAGAACCCTCGACACTTGGCATGCCAATTATACCACTAGGTCTCATATCACATACTATGGGATTTACAATTTATATTTTTTAGTATATCTTATTTCACATAAACCAGTAATCACGTAGGTTATGTCACATAGATCACATAACACATAGAATAACATATAACACATAGTTTATCTATAACAGTGCATATAATATATAAAATTATGCATTTACTCATGTACACATTTTCATATAGTCTCATAGATCAATGCATATAGCTTATCTCATAGTTTCACATAATCACTTATATTATATCACATCACTTATATACTAGTTCCATATATTCATTTAGTTCAATTTCACATAACTTGTCACATAGACATGTATTAACATATATCATATTCACATAGATTATATCACATGGACATGTACTCACATAGCTCATATTCACATAAGAAAGCATGCAACACATGGTTTGCGAATAACAATGCATATATCTTCTAAACATGTATTCATGTACACATATAAAACCATATAAACAATATGCTTGCATTCCTAGAATTATGAAATCAAACATTGGAAATAGACTCATCACAAGTCTTATTTCCATAAAACACCATATACAATATAATCTGCACTCACCTTAGCCTTACCTCTTCCAAGCTAAGCACTTAGCGCCTTAGATCGATCTTACAACTTTGAATCGTCTGAATCTTATTTTCGATCAATATCTACACCAATATACAATCTAAATAAATATAGGAATTCATAATACTATAAATCAATCACCAATAACTTAAGCTAAACGAAACACTTAATTGACTATTTCACTTTGAATAGTATCGGTACTCAAGGTACAGTACCGATACACTATACTTCAGTATCGATACCCAATTTCGATTATGGAATTTCATCTTCAAAATGGTACCGATACTTGCTCACTGGTATCGATACTACTCATTCGATATCGATACTGAATAAAGGATTTCATACAATTTACCTTATGGTATCGATATTGTTATTCCAGTATCGATATCCAAACCCAAATGTCACCTATTTTTACTCTGAAGTATCGGTATTGTTCATCCAGTACCGATACCCCTTGCCCAGAACTTACTTATTTTACCCAAAAATTTTCCCAAAACTTACTTAACTTCCACTCTTTTAATTCCTTTCAAATCATTAAACTCAAATATACTTATTAAAACTAACTTATATCACTTTAACACACTTTCACATCCAAAACTCCCATAGAACACTTAAAACCAAAAATCATACCAATTATTGAATATGTTTTTAATCCACTTCTATTACTTCTAACTTCTTAATTAGACCCTTGACAAGTCAAATTTAACATTTAAATCCAATTCCTAAACATTTCTCATACATTCACTTAAAAATCCTCTTTATAAATCCCCTCATAATTTATCCATCTTTTAATTTATATTTCTCTTTTAGCTTCCTTAAGCTTTCTTAACACTCCAAGAATAAAAACCAACTTTAAAATGAAAGGAATAATCAACTTGAGACCAACTTACTTTATTGAAGATAGCTACCTGCATTTTTTTCTCTCTTTTCCTCCTCATTCTCCACGTGGATATTTATAACACCAATAATGAATTTTTAATTCATTTCCTAATCAAATGACCATTATGCCCTTTTTATTTCCAAACTTTGCTATTAAATCCAACACCAAGATACTCCAATTAAGTCCATGAACTTTTAAATTTTCTGAAATTGATCACAAAGTTTCAACAACTTACATTTTAGTCACTAACCCGGTTTTTGCGATTTTACAGATTTACTCTTTGGGGATATCATATGGAATATACGGTTACAAAGGAATTCAGTTGCATTCCAATCACCTCTTGAGGATGATAGATTGGTGCTCGAGAGAAGTAAACACCTAGTGAAGACTATGTGCCGAGCGTAAGAATGAGGGCCAGTGCGTGGTGAGCCTGCAGAACGAAAGGGGACTGGTGAGAACCAACGGCAGCGTCCACCAGAAGAGCGGGTGAAGGTGAATTCTGATGGGGCTAGCAGTGTGTGGAGGGGTCGTTAGAAATAACCTGAGAGAATGGAGAATGGGTTTTACAAAATTCATTGGCATTTGTTCTGTTATGGAGGTTGAGTTATGGGGAATGTATTTGGGTCTCTTGTGTGCATGGGACATGGAGAACGATGAGTTATTTTGGAGGTCGATAGCCTTAAGGTTGTTTACGTCGTTTGACTAGGGGCTGAAGATAATGACACAATAATGCTATTGAGACACATAACAATACTACTCCAACAAGACTGGAGGTGTTAAGATTCAACACATACAGAGGAAAGGAAATAGGGTGACCGATGACATGATGAAGATAGCGGATAGGACGACGTATGAAACTACATGGTACTTGGAGACGCCTCCCAAGGTGGTCGCGAAGCTGCAAGAGGACTTAGGTGTAGTGTGATTGTGTAATTGATTTCTCTCTTTATCTCAAAAAAAATTACTAGTTTAAGATTTTTTTTTTAGTTTAAGCCAATAAATAAATAAATTTAGCCATTTTACTTTTACTACTGATATTTCAATTTTGTTAATCACACTATATAACTATTCAATTTTTTCAATTAAGCTACTAGTCGTTAACAGTTATGCAAATAATTACGTGACAACTAAAAAGAATAATTATGGGTTGTTTGAAACAATTTTTTTTCAAGAACCGAACTGTACACCCAGGGGGAAATGCTTACGTGAGGCGTTTAATATACTGCTAAAAAAAGGCGGTACCGATTCTGTTATTGACTAAAAAAAGGCGGTATCGGTTTTGTTATTGTTGTGCATAACAAAAACGGTAAAAATTACTGAAAACATCATTATTTTTACCGGTTTTGTTATTATTTGGTATTTTACCGGGTAAAATATACCGGTTTTATTATTGTTGTGCATGACAAAACCGGTAAAAATTACCCAAAACATCATTATTTTAACAAAACCGGTAAAACACTACCGGTTTTGTTATTTTTTAACCTATTTTGTTATTGTTAGGTATTTTACCGGAAATGTTAAAAAATATTGATGTTTTAGGTAGAAATAATAATGTTTTAGATAATTTTTACCGGTTTTGTTATGTCCAACAATAACAAAACAGGTAAAAATAGATTTTTAATGATAAAATTAGTAAACACAAATTATACAAATTAATTTTAATTTTTTAGTTTGTAAGTCGTCACAATATAACTAATGAAAAAAGTACACGGTATTTCTATTTCGATATTAGCTTTCTAATAATAAAATTAAAAAAATTATATATAATTACAATATAATTTTAAAAAATAATCGTAATGAAGTGATAAAAAATAATTATAATTACAATATAATTATAAACATCAAATACAATAAAATAATAGTATTTATTAACAAAATAATAATATTATTTTTAAAATATTAGAATAATTTATTTAATATTATTTATGTCAATATTATTATTAAAATATTATATCTATAATTTTATAAATAAAAAATTATGATGATTATATTTTATTAAAATAAAATTATTATAAATTATATTTATTATTTATTATAATAAGAATAATATATCATTAATTATATTATAATGAGAGAATAATTAAACATATGTGTCGATATATTTTCTAAAAGTATCGACACATATGTTACATCGAAACAGATAATTATAATGTAATAGGTAAATTTACAATGTAATCGGTATACAACAATAACATAACCGGTAAAAATTACCGAAAACATCATTATTTCTATCGGTTTTGTTATTATTTACATTTTACCGGGTAAAATATACCGGTTTTGTTATTGTTGGCATAACAAAACCGGTAAAAATTACCGAAAATATTATTATTTTAACAAAACCGGTAAAGCGCTACCGGTTTTGTTGTTTTTTTTACCGGTTTTGTTATTGTTGGGCATTTTACCAGAAATGTTAAAAAAACATTAATGTTTTAGGTATAAATAATAATATTTTAGGTAATTTTTACCGGTTTTGTTATGCCCAACAATAACAAAACCGGTAAAAATAGACTTTTTAATAATAAAATTAGTAAATAAAAATTATACAAATTAATTTTAATTTTTTAGTCATAATATAACTAATGAAAAAAAAGACATATTATTTCTATTTTGATATTAATTTTCTAATAATAAAATAAAAAATAAAATATATATATAATTATAATATAATTTAAAAAAAAATCATAATGAAGTGATGAAAAAGAATCATAATTACAATATAATTATAAACATCAAATATAATAAAATAATATTATTTTTAAAATATTAAAATAATTTATTTAATATTATTTATGTTAATATTATTATTAAAATATTATATCTATAATGTTATAAATAAAAAATTATAAAGTTGTCTAACGAGGTGCACGCATAAAGTGTCAATACATTTAAAATTGTATCGATCTTAAAAACATCAAAACCATTAATTATAATATAATAAGTAAATTTGTAATATTATCAGTATAAATATGTCGGTTTAATTAGAAAATATGTCAATATAAACATATCTATTACATTATATAAATGATACCTTATATGTTATTGTACTTAATAATATTTCCGATTAAATATCTATTTTATTATATAAGTGTTACCTAATATATTATTTTACTTAATAATATTTTCAATTAAATGATTAACATAATTGATATAAATTTTAACTGATTACTTAATTAACCGATCACATATTTTTTAACCGTTTTTTAGGCCATCAACGCAGAAGTCCCTACACCGAGGTATTTGGGCAATTTCGCGTAAACCTCGTGACAATTAAAGCCAACACATGGGTTCTGAACTGCTATAAAAATATTGAAACCCAGCGAAAAATCAAGAAAAGAAAATATACAGGGAGAGGGCAAAAGAGTTCAGTTTCAGGGATTCTTGTGAAAGCCTAAAATCGCTTGGCATGCATTTACTGTTTTAGCATCTCAAGAACTTCCTTCCTTAATATCATCGAATCCGCTTTTGTTTTTGTTTTTAATGAGTCTATTAGGGTTTAAATCCTTGGTGTATCTTGGTGACTTCTGTTTGGGAGAACTCAACACTATCCCTGTTCCCCCCTCCGATTTCCAATTCCCAAATAACGAAATCCGAATCCACCACACCTCCCCTACCAGCGAACGATGCATTCCTCTTTCCGTTCTCCGTACCATTTCCTCATTCCCCCTTCGTTGCAAGCTCGAATCCTCTTCTCCAGTCGAACAACCGCATTTGATTCATCTTTACGCCTCTTGCTTTTATGAATTCAAGGTGTCTTTCAATTCCCGCCCTCTTTGGTTTTATTTTTTTTTATTTTGTTTTTTAATCATGATTTTTTTCCTTGTTTTAGACGGCCGTGGTTTTGGTTGGAGATGAGGAGGTTCACTTAGTGGCAATGCCGAGTAAACAAAAGAAGTTTCCGTGCTTTTGGTGCTTCTCGGTTCCTACGGGACTGTACAATTCCTGCTTAGGGATGCTGAACTTAAGGTGTCTCGCAATTGTTTTCGATCTTGATGAAACGCTGATTGTTGCCAACACGATGAAGTCGTTTGAGGATAGGATCGAAGCTCTTAGGAGTTGGATGACAAGGGAGAGTGATCCGATTCGTCTCTCGGGGATGTCGGCTGAATTAAGAAGGTATATGGATGATCGCTTGCTCTTGAAGCAGTATACGGAGAGTGATTGTATCGTTGATAATGGAAAAACGTTTAAAGCACAGATGGAAGAGGTTCCACCTTTGTCTGATGGCCATGAAAAAGTTGTTCGGCCTGTGATTAGGTTGCAAGACAGAAATCTTGTCCTTACACGTATCAATCCTGAGGTTAGAGAAACAACCAGAGAAACAATGATTGACCTGATGCATTTTGTTGATCTAGTTGGCTATATATTAGTGGATTTGAAATCTACAAAGATTGTTCATCGAAACAAAATGTCCATGTATGGATTCTATTGGTTGTTTTAGAAGTTAGGACAAAGAAGCTCCGCTCTTATGTGACACTTTTAATGATATAATACGTTGAACTTAAGAGTGTCATGTGGAATTTACTGGACTGATAATCATTCCATGATACATACATTATGATCAGTGCTTAATGTAAAAGGTTTATACTGACAGTGGACGAATGGATAGGCTCTGTTTGGTTTGGACCATGAAGTTGTGTATGTTTTCACATTTATAAATTGCTCTCTTTGTCCAATGTCCAGATACGCGATACTAGCGTGCTTGTGAGGTTGCGTCCTGCATGGGAGGAATTGAGAAGCTATTTGACTGCAAAAGGGCGAAAGCGCTTTGAAGTATATGTCTGTACTATGGCTGAAAGGGATTATGCATTAGAGATGTGGAGGCTCCTTGATCCTGGGTCACACCTGATAGGCTCAAAACAACTACTGGAGCGAGTTGTCTGTGTCAAATCTGGCAAGTCTATATAACAATTTTATATGTCTTGTTTTGTACTGTGGACTTCTTGAGATGCTATCATTTAAACAATGAACGTTTTGTAGTAGGTAGCCTCCCTTTCTTGCTGGTGCCCCCACCTTGGCAACTACTATAGCAACTTTGTAATGGCCTTTTGGCTATTAAATAATTTTTACAGGTTCTAGGAAATCTTTGCTAAATGTGTTCCGAGATGGAAAGTGCCATCCTCAGATGGCAATGGTAATTGATGATCGTTCAAAGGTCTGGGAGGATAAAGATCAACCTCGAGTTCATGTAGTTCCCCCATTTGCTCCATATTATGCTCCTCAGGCAGAGGTTCATACTGTGCTTGTTTGCAGCTAACTTAATGAGAATTTGAGATATGGTTTTAGTTTTCTGATATTTTTGGTAAATCATCTTCCTCTTTTTTTTTAGACAGCAAATGCAGTTCCAGTCCTCTGTGTGGCAAGAAATGTTGCATGCAATGCCAGGGGTTTGTTTTTCAAGTAAGCCATTAATTTTGTGTGGTAGATGGCTATTTATCATTCTAATCCTCTTGTGTTTGCTCTTTAATTTCTTATTTTACTTTTTGTCCAGAGAGTTTGATGAGAATGTATTGCTGAAATTATCTGAAGTTTTTTATGAAGATGAGGTGGCAAATCTGCCTCATGCCTCTGACGTGAGCAGCTATTTGATGTCTGTGGTACACTAATTGACAATATATGATAGTAATTAATTGAGAGAAACTTCGAATTTCCAATTGTACTTGAGGCATTTACTCACCAGTGATTTGCAGGAAGCTAGCTTGGCTCCAAATGGGAACAATGGTGCTCCTATCTGTGAAGGAATGAATGGAGTTGATGTTGAACGGAGAATGAACCAATCGGTAAGTCTTAATTAGTTACATGGTAAATGGATATTAATTTTTCATTGCTCTGGGATAGAACTTTTATCGCACACGTGCTCTAAAGTTTATTGGTCTTGATTATTTCCAATTAGGGCTATAAACAAGTCGAGTATTACTAAGCTTGACTCAACTCGAAAAGTATAAAACTAAGCTCGACTCGACTCAAAATCAAAAATTGAAGCTCGATTTGAGTTTGAAAAAACTTGAATTCAAAATATTCTCAGACTTAGCTCGATTGAAGCCCAAACTCTAGCTCGAACCTGAAGCTTAAGTACATGAAAGCCTTATATTGTATTTTTTTTTAAATAACAACATATAAATGTTAATATCATTAATAATTTAATTTAAAAATCTAAAATTTTAATATATTATTTTTTTGAGTTGCTCGCGAGCTTTTCGAGTCAGGTACCTGAAGCTTAAGTACATGAAAGTCTCATTTACTGTCCTAGTTCCAATCAATGTTCCCCCCCCCCCCTTATTTTTTCATAATTATAGTATCTTAGTTTATTCAGGAGGACAAACATGTTATGGACTCTTCCACTCGGCCAATTACAAATAACGCCGAGTTGAGGATGGAAACCTCTCAGCCACCTGTTACAGAAGTTGTTGGCCCTTTATCTTCAATAGCACAATTGCCTTCTCAGAGTAGGATTTCCTATTAATGTTATTTTATTTTGAATGCATGATTTACCGGATTGGATTGTGTTTGATCTTATTTTTTGCTCTTATCTGTACTTTAGAACCTAGTTTACTTGGAGCTCCTTTTCTGCTTTCAAATCCTATGCCACTTGGAGCTTCAGTAAGACGAGATAACAACAGTAGTGATAGTGATTATGATATGAAGAGAAGAGCCCTTGGCACAAGACAGAATTTAGACTTGAAGAGTCAGAGCTCAGTCCAACCTCCACTCCTACCGAAATTTCCAGTACAAACATCATCATCAGTTGTCTCACAGCGAGGTTGGTTGACTAACGAAGACAGCAATGAAGCACATTTAAATGCTCGACCATCATGTACTGCACAAGAATCTGATGCAATGAAATCTAATAAATTGCGAGCTTATCAGAATCCATTTTCTCATACTGCACCAGGTTCCGTCTCTACTGGTTTACCATCACATGCGTCCCAAGTGAAGGTTGAAGAGGTTTGGTCAAAATTCCTTCAGATTTATCTTATATAACATGTGTGCATCCTAAATTTTGTCTTCTATACTTCAGGCACGTACTAGACTTGATACACCAAAACAGAATGTTCTGCGTACTGCTCATGTATTAGGTTTGTGAAGCTATTACTCTTCTCTTTTGTGTCAGGCAGTTGTTGCATGGTGTTGAATATTGATATGCTGTCTAAAGCTGGCTTTGTAGTTTTACAAGTCTATACTTGGTAGAATAGTTTGAATATGGAATAATGAGAACTGCTATCAGTGGTGGATACGTTTTAGAGTATCAATGTTGAAGGTAAATATGCTTGTTAAACTGTACTTGATAAATAGACATACTAGTGAAAAAGGAAAGGAAGAACTGTCTAGGAAGGGAAGATGCTGTAGAAGAGTGGAACGATGAATGAAAGAGTTGAATTGGCCTTTTCAAGATCATTGCATTAATTTAGATGTTGTGGGAGAAGAACATGGTTCCGAGGTTTCTAATGCTCATGCATTTAGAAGACTTGATGGTTTTAAAAAGCACGTCTAGGTGCAAAGCGATGATGGGCGCAAGAAAAATCGCCTCTAAAGTTAGAGGTGGAGCGAGGCCCGAGAAGCTCAAATGGGCACGCACCTTTTAGGCTTTTGGGAAGGCACCAAAGCGCACCGGCTCTGCAGCTTTGCTGTTCTCTGGTTTTTGCTTTATCTGTTTTTTTTTGTTGCTATAATAGAGTCGAGTCTCAACTATTTTTCACAGCAAGATTTAGACTAGCAGCTTGGTTCTTAGCCAAATTCCCTAAAGCCCCTGTTTTGATGGATTCTCTCATTGGTGGCCCTTTACTTGGGGACTTGGATTTTTTCACAAAGCCTCAACCAGCACCTTCGGTATCCTGGACTCCCCCTCCTGCGGGGTATTTCAAAATGAATGTGGATGCAGCAGATAGAAGTGATCGGAAAGCAGGTGGTATAGGTGGGATTCTTAGCTATAACTCTAGCTTAGTTCTAGGGACTTTTTCAGAACCTTCTGTTCCCGGCCCACAAGTTTTTGTGGAATTGATGACTATTAGATCTGGTTTAATTTTCTTTGAAGCTTTGAAGTGGTGTTCTAAGGGTCGATTGATTATTGAAGCTGATAGTAAGGTTTTGTGCGGAGTGGATAAAGAATCCGGATGTCTGTCCAGGTTTTTATGCTTCAATTTGTATGGAGTTAAAGGATGGAATCAGCAGCATAGAGGGTATTCTTCGTTGGATTCCTAGACCAGCTAAAATGGAAGCAGATGCACTAGCTAAGACAGGAATTGGTTAGGAGAGAGTTTTGTCTGGATTTTGGGTGATTTCTTTGTGTTAGGGATTAAGTTGTCTGTTTTGGTTATGTAGTCTGTTTATAATAATCTTTTGTAATCTTCCTTTATATTTTAATAAAATATGAGGCACTCTTTTCCCCCTTCCGCTTTTTATTGGAATACCTTCCGGTATTCTAGTAATTATGAAGGGGGTTTTAACGAGGCCTCCAATTCCTATATTAAACAAATGTCTAAAGCAATCTAATATAATAAAATATTATAATGGATAGATTCTTGCTGTTTATCCTATTCCCATCATTTTTTATTCTTTTATTCCCATTACTTTTCTTTATTAAATATTTCACTAGTCCTTACTATGGTTTTTTATCAGGTTTTTGCTTTTCATTAGTCTTATTGCTTTTTATATTTGGTTTTTGCTTTGCCATTCTCTGGTTTTTGTTTTCTTTAATAATTATTATTTATAAGGTTCTTAACCTTGAGGTCGTGGGATCGAGTCCCACGGAGGGCATTTCATAATTCGGAGGTCTTCTACGGAAGTTGCTCTCAACCTGGTGTTGGGGGCAGCCTACTATCTTACCTCCCCCTTACCCCATTATATATGGGAACAAGGGACAGCCATTTTTTGTATTTACACAACTAACGTTTTTCATCTAAATTTTTATTAATATACTCATATTCTTATATCAATTTTAAAAATAAATTATTAGAATTCATTACTTATAATGAGAAAATTTGATATAAAATATTGACTAAATCAAAAATTTTATAACTTTTTAACTAAAATAATGAAAATTATAGTATTTTATTTTAAAATTAATTATTATATTCACATATTATAAAATAATTAATTTAATTCAAAAATCAAAATACATAACTAACATTATTTTATACATTAAATTCTTTATACTTAAACATATAATTATTAATTTATTATAGTGTCACTCACCCTCAATCTGTGTTTATGCATTTTCGAAACAAAGGTTTCGAAAATAGACAATAGTGAAGTAACATAGTGTGGGAAGGAGATAAGTACTGTATCGATGGGTAATGTGTATGGATATGTTCCAGACTTGATTTATAATTTTTTTAGCACAAACGATGCGCCTCACATACGAAAGGCGTGCGCCTTGTGCCTAGGCTCCAGGGACCTTTTGTGCCTCAGTGCGCCTTGCGCCTTTAAAAACCAAGCTTGATCCTAATTTCAGTGGATGATTGTTTGAATTCTCTTGCAGAGACAGGTGGAACTCAGAATCCTGTGCCCTCTATTAATAGAGAATTGCAATCTGAAGGAAAAATGAATCTTCTACCCTCCCATTTGTCAATAGGTGTTTTACAAGAAATTGGACGAAGATGTGGTTCAAAGGTACTGCTACTTTCAGGATTGGGATCTCGTCCATTATTTTTCTACCTTGCTATATCCAATTATATTTAATCACCGTTCATAAGTATTATTGTCATAATATGCATAAGTTCCCGAACATTTGAATGGTGCTGACTAGTGTATTATGAAGTAATGGACAAAAATAATAGAAGTGAAACTGGCTCTTCCCTTACATGCATGCATATTTATATTTAAGCTTGACTGCCTTGGTTAATCAATTTTTTGTCTTCCATATTTGTACTCTACAGGTTGAGTTCAGGTCTGTTGTAAGCACCAGTAAGGATTTGCAGTTTTCTGTTGAGGTCAGTGAAACCTATATTTCTTTGCTAATAAACAGATTTGTTATGGATAGGTCTGTGAGTTTTCAACCGTGTTTGTCTTGAAAATCCTTTGTTTTGGGGTATTGGCATGTGTTTCTCCTTGAAACCAGCTTCACTAATGCTCTTTGTTCCCTGATTTCCTTTTCCCTCTGTAGTTTGCTCCTTGGTTTTTACTTTTCAGAAAGCTGCTCACTTTTCTGGCTTATTTTTTTAAGGTTTTATTCACTGGCGAGAAGATTGGTGTTGGAATGGGCAAGACAAGGAGGGATGCTCAACAGCAAGCTGCTGAGCTTGCTCTGCATAATTTAGCAGGTGAATTTCATATATGCTATTTTTCTTGCTGTACTTTTTATAGGAGTTATTCTGTTTGTTCCAAGACTGGAACCATGCACCTTGGTTTTGATATGATTGATTCAGACATGAATAATTGGCATTATAGTCTTTGGGGCTATATTTTCTAAACTTTTCCAAAGGTCCCATGAATCTTATCTCCATTATATTTGAGTTCTCTTTAGATGCGATGGAAGGATTTTAAACTTCTTAGCGCTTTTTTGGAGCCTTATAGGGCTATATGGATATACATATATTCATACATCATACTCAGTAAACAATATGATATTGGTATAATATGAGTGCTCCTTTGGATTATAAATATTGTCTTCTTTAGTTTTGTGTTTTTCTCAGCCATGCATCAAGAAAAAATGCTGGAAGGAACTGAGCTTTTTTTTTATACATGGTATCTCAGAAAAATATGTAGCATTTATAGCACCTCGTTCGGGAGCTGTGGATAGTGATTTCGATAGTCTCACTCTTGGAACTGAAAATGGATTTCTATGGGACACGAGTCCTGCATCAAATGAAGCAATAATAGAGGACAGGTTACCTAAAGATAATACTTCTGAGGTGGGCATTCCTGGCGATGCTTTCATTACTTGATTTGATTTCTTTGTTTAAAAAAAAAAAGAAATAAAGTGACCCTTGGATAAAGGGCATGTGGGCAAAAAGTTTCTAGACATGAGGTTGTGGTTATCTGGAGAGAAACCACTCCTCTTTGGAATGCACCAAGATGTAAGAGCTGAAAGTAGAGTGGTCTGGCTTCATGTCTGCTACTGCTGCCTTAACTGGTTATCCTTTAAAGAGGTAATGACTTGATGTCAGTCAGTCTTTAGTTTCTACCCTTTATCCAAGGACTCCCGGTACAATTCTTTAAGCTTCTTATTCCCTCTTGTAAAAGTTGTCCCAGACATAGTTTTGCCGAACATGAATCCTCGGTTGGCAACCTATTATTTAACGAGTTTGTCAAAGCATAATGAGCTGATTTATGTATTTGGAGAATGTTTCATGTCTGGTTTTGCTTGCTTGTTACCTGATGATGAATTGTTATGAGCACTCTTATTACTGAGTTTGTCTGTTTATTTATGTACTTGGAGGCTTGAAATGAAGTTTTAGAATGGAATCTTAATAATTTATTATTGTTTTCCTGAATGAAAGATCTGGAACCATTGCAATTAGTGATTGAAACTGGCATGGATTAACCCACTTTTTTTTTTTTTTTTTTTGATGACTAAATCTCAGGCTGCCGATGTGGAACCTGGGAGTAATTCGTCCAGTATAGCAACTCAACCAGTTGAAAAGCGTGCCAATTCACCAAGGTATGTTTTCCTTCGTTTGCTTTTGGCGGATCTTCAGAGGTCATATCTCCATATGAATATGCGAGACAAATGTTAGACACGGATATTTCAAACAAAATGAAGAGTCCGGGCAACATAGCATCAGTCTGTGACTTGGTATTATTGTGAAAAGTTTCTTTGTTTCTCGCCTATCAATCTCCAACTCGGATTCACATTTGAAAGGAATGTTTTGAAATTAGAAAGTTCCGTCTTTTCATAACCTTGGTTTTCAAAGGCACGCCTAGGCGGGAGGCGTAGCCAGGCAATGAATATGGCACCCGCCTGGGTTGAGGCGAGGCGATTGACAAGAGGTGCCCGGAGGCACGCGCCTCAGGGCTTTAGGCATGGGTGCAGTGCCTTTGCGCCTTTTGGATTTTTTTAAGATATTAATATTTTAATAAATTATTATATTTTAATATTAAAAAAAACCATCTTAAAAAAAACTCTCACTCTCGATACAATCACCAAACATAATCTCTAATATTCTTTCACGCCTGATATATATTTTGTTCTTTAAAGAACTTCAATATTATTTATCGTGTTATTTTTAGTACAAAATATAGTTTACACTTGATATATTATATACTACAAACAGTGCACCTCGCATACAAAAGGCATGCCCTTGTGCCTTGTGCCTTGTGCCTTGTGCCTAGGCTCCAGGGACTTTTGCACCCCGGTGCAAATTGCGCCCCTAAAAACCAAGTTCATAACATTGAAGGATGAAAATTTGTGTTGGAGCTTTCATTATTAAAGGAGTGAATGTTTTAATCCCTCATCTTCCTATCTCAATGTGCAGATTATCTGAATCAGTGCCAAGCGAATAATCAAAGGAAGGAGTCCTGTGTTGATTAGAAAGTCTATCGTCATCACGGCAACCGAAAAATGAACCATGAGAAGGTTTTGAGATGACATGAATTTAGCATAACAGACGTGATGAGATTACAACCTTTGATTTTTTGATATCTTATGAGGTGAATAGATCTGTCTCTCTCTCACACACACACACCAGGAAATATGGAGGCAATGTTTAATCATTTTTTTTGACTCATCATTTCCTGCTATGTGTCGTGTATGATCATAAGGCTCAGCTTGTCCTCAGATCTGAGAGTCGAATTTATGTTAAGTTGGAGATATCAGTGTTTCAACGATCAGCACGAGTTCAATTTTTCTGGGTTTAGAATTTTATGATGGAAATTTCAGAGGGCAGAGGTGAAAATCTTACAGTCTGGTTTCTTCCCTATAGATCAAAATGCATAAAAAAGACACCGACCTTCAACTTCCACCAACTGGAAGATCCGACACTGAAAAAGGAATTCAGAAACGTTCTCTTTCATGCTTGGAACAAGATTTTCAGGGTTGGAGTCGCTTGTTCTAAAACAACTTGAGAAAAACAAGAATGTGGTTCAAAACCAATTTGATTTTAAAATCAAACGCTTATGAAATTGCCAAAGCCTACCGATCAAGAGAGATTCCAAAATCATTGATGGACTCGTGATCTCGAGGTTCAAATTGGATAACCAATTATGGCGAGAAAGCACAAAATTTATGGGATTCAACTTCACCAGAGAAAATAGAATGGTTCAATGGTCGAGAGAACATAATAAATTATTTACTTGGGGGTGGAGATCTGGTTTATGAGGATCATCCTTGGTTTGAAGAAAGCAGAGGGGTTTTTGTTGATGGAATTATAATTAAAATATTATGTAGATAAAAAAAAAAGTGCGTATAATAATTTTGTTCCACTATCGAAAGTCGAAACAAGGTATCAACAAATCAACCTCCATTCATGAACTGGTAGAAGCGTTGCACTTTTACTGCACACTAAGTTTTTCGAGAGATGAGCAATAAAGAACTAACAATGTTCATGTCATAAGAAGATTATGTAGACCGACTTTTCTTTCTCCAATATTGATTTTTATCATGCTAATATTTATTCTCCATCCTCATCTTATCTTTCAAAGGTTCAACACTTATTGTTGTCATTCTAATCCATTTTATTTCTAATCCTAGTTAGGGCTGTGAACGAGTTGAGCTCGACTCGAAAACAGACAAGCCTAAAATTTTGAAGCTTGACCTAGACTCGAAATCATGAACTGAAGCTCGTAAAAGCTCGAAATGAAAAAAAAAATCTTAAACTTAACTATATTGAAGCCTCAAACACAAACTCGAACTTGAACTTTAAATACATGAAAACCTTATATTGCATTTAAAAAAATCAACACAAATGTTAATATTATTAATAATTTTTAAAAAAATAAAATCTTAATATATTATATTTTCAAGTTGCTCACGAGCTTTTCAAGTTGAGTATCAAGTAGCTCGTTTCGGCTCGTTAAAAACTCGAGTCTTATCTCATTTACAACTTAATCCTAGTAAGTTCTGCTCATATCACTATCGAGATCATTATCAAATAATATCATCAACTCTCTATACTACTCAAATTTTTATCACTAGTTGTTTTCGATAAGTTTAGTTTTAAAAGATTGATTTGTGCACGAACCAAGTTATCTCAGTGGTTAAAGGAATGGTTGTTGTTTCAAGAGATGGGTTCGAACACCAACGATTGTATGCTATTTGAGCGTTTATTATCAAATGATTGAGAGTTTCTAGAACAAATAATACCACTTTTAATCACTCTAGATTAATAATAAAAAGGCTTAATATTATTAAAGTTGATAATATTAGGTTGTTGGGGGCATGATGTCTTGGTTTTGATAAAGAAATTACTAGGTTATAAAGTTTCAAAGTATGAGGGGTAAAATGGTAATTTTACTTAAATTAAGTTTCATTTTTGTAAGATAGGTCAGGAGATGATGATATGATATGATTTTGAAGGTTTTAAAGTGATATTCAAATTTTTGGAGGCCAATTTTTAAAAACATAAAAGTTAAGGGATTAATTTGTAAAGTTTTCAAAAGTTAAAGATGACAAAATTTCAGTCCAATTTCAATTAGTTGCTGGAGAGAATGGTTGGAACTGAACAAAATAGCTTGTGCGGAGATATTTTTAAATTAGATGGACTAAATTAGAAGAAGAAAAAGAAAGGTGAAAATTAAACCGAATGACCTAATTATATTGGTCAAAGAAGAGGTGATAGAATTGGACACATTTTATGCAGAGAAAGAAAGGAATTTTAGTATTTTATTTTTGAAATATTAGAGAACAAATTAAAACTTTTGGATAAAAAAAACTATTAGAGATAAAGTTTTTCTACTCAAATTAAAATGTCTTCTAAACTAAATGTCCAAAGGTCAAGAGAATGAAGTTATACAAGGATTAGCATATGACGAAATTGGTCACTAATATCTTAGTAAGTTTTTGTTTCTCCCACTAAAGTTTTAAAAATAACAAATTGGTCACTAAAGTTATCGATTTGTAACAAGATGGTCAATCTATTGTTATCTCTTTTAAATTGATGATGTGACAATGTTAATAAAAAAGTTAATATTTAGTTTTACCCCTAAACTATTGGTAAAACATCAAATAAGACCTTAAACAAAGATTTTATATCTAATTTATTCTAGAACCTTTCTAATTTATAGTTTTTTCAAACACCCCACCACTACAACTATATTCGAACCATATTGCATGGATAAATGGAGTTTTTCTATTAAAGACAAATGAACGAGTATTTAAAGTCATATATTCGATTAATTTTAATGTAAAATAAATGCTTTTGGCACGAGTATTTAAACAAATAGAACGCTGTCAATGATTAAAAAAGATTCTGAACAAATACTACCTTATAATCACCCTATACTATGCAAAAAGGAATTATGGATACTGTATGTGCCATTGGATCTTACTGGAAATTCTAACTTTAGATCTAGCCATTGGATTGAGATATTATAATTACATTTTAAAAATAAAGGAATTATATTATTAGATTAAATGAAGGAAAAGATGAACAAAAAGTGTACATCTTCTTCCTCACTTAGACATATTTTTATAAGACATAATTTTATAAGGGTTCTCCTCAATTGTTTTATTGAGCTGAAATCGAAGGGTGGTTAAGTTTTAAACAGATTAAAGAACAAGTATAGGTTTTAAATCCAGTAAAATTATTTTTATAATTATTTTAAAATTTTAAAATCGGAATCAAATTGAGATAGTTTGTAAAATCTAAAATTATTTATTAAAATTAAAATCAAATTTGTATTTTAATTATAATTTAGAGATCACGTTATATATTATTATTATTTTTTTATAAATTTACGATGTTATTAATGCACCTTAAACTAATTATCAAAATTGATAATAGTGGTGATCATAATATAATATTTCAAATATTGATGCTGAAAATAAAATTCACTAAAACATTTATAGCTTACCCAACAAAGCTTTACACAGAATTTAGGGATCATTTTATGTAGTTCACCCTCATATAAATAATTTGGTTTCCGGAGGCGCAATAAATACGTCTCTTTACGGAGGAAACGAAACAAAATCAAGAATTGCAGAGGGAAATCGAAGACCTGAAAAACAGTTGAAAATGGATGTGTTAAAAACTCAGCAAATATCGGCTCGATCCATAGAGAAGGTAATCGTTCACCCTTTGGTTCTTCTAAGCATCGTTGATAACTACAATCGTGTCGCTAAAGACACGCACAAGCGCGTCGTCGGAGTCCTCCTTGGTTCTTCCTTCAAAGGCACCGTCGACGTCACCAACAGCTACGCAGGTTTCTCCATTTCTTTCTTTTTACTGTTTATTTTCCCTTTTATTTTATTTTTTTATTTTCGTTCTAGATCTGAATCGTTCTGTTTGCTTTAATAAATATTGTTTACGGGAATGTTATGTTATTATCTTTTGCACGATTGCTGATTGAGATGTTGCTTGTGCTGAATTATAATTTATAATTATAGGGTTTTTAGAGTAATTTTTAGGTTTTAGGGTTTTAGCTCTGATTGTTGGGTTTGAATTGAGACTGTTTGTTAATTGTGTTTGTGTTGACCTAAATTTCCCTCTTTTTTGCTTGAATATATGGAATCAAAGGCAATTAATGTGTGTTATTGAAGATGATGCAATTAAAGAGGTATTTGAAGAAATACCTTGGTCCTCCTTATGTTTTGATAGTATAGTTTCTTATTTTTGAGCTTTTGTTGACACTTGACTTGCGTTAATTAGTATTATCGTGTTTGAAGAGGTTGATTATTGAATTTTCAGTTCCTTTTGAGGAAGACGAGAAGGACCCTGGTATATGGTTCCTTGACCACAACTACCATGAATCAATGTTTTCAATGTTCAAGAGGATTAATGGTAACTAGTTTCTCAACTTAGAATAAAGATGGTGCTTCTTTTAGTTTATCTATTCTCTGCTTTCTTGTTTCATCTGTTATTCTGTTAAGATTTAATATTCTTTATATCTGGAATTGATTTGATCATTGTTTTAGCAAAGGAGCATGTTGTTGGTTGGTATAGTACGGGCCCAAAATTACGGGAAAATGATCTGGATATTCACAGATTATTCCACAAGTAAGATTTTATTAATTGTTATTTATTATACTGTTCTTAACTTTAATTTCCAGTCCAATCTTTTAACCAGGAGCTTTTGATGTTGCAGCTATGTCCCAAATCCTGTTTTGGTCATCATTGATGTTCAACCGAAGGAGTTGGGGATCCCCACCAAGGCCTACTATGATGTTGAAGAGGTTAAGGAGGTAAGAACAATTTTTGGATGCATTGTTTTTCATTTATGGGATGGAGAAAGAGCTTGTCTGTTGAGGTGGATAGACGGTCCTGATATTAAGTGGGACTGCAACTAGTAATGATCTTTTGCAAGAAGCTGTCACTTTTATATGTATTTGTTGGGCATTTGTAATATGTTGGTAATGATGCAGAATGCCACTCAAAAGAGCCAAAAGATTTTCGTTCATGTTCCTTCTGAAATTGCTGCTCACGAAGTTGAGGAGATTGGTATGTTAGCAGATGAAATTTTATATCTTCTCTGAAAGTTGCCTTTTTTGATTAATTCTAGTTTATTGGATTTGTGGAGCATTAATTTTCTTACAATACAACTTTTTCACCCACAAACAGGAGTGGAACACTTGCTAAGGGATGTTAAAGATACAACCATTAGTACACTTGCAACTGAGGTTTTTTTCTCTTTATTTATTTTTCAATTCCAGTTAGTAATAAAGCTTTTACTTTTGTGGAAAACTTTTAACTAAGGGATTATATATATACCTTGGTCTTAATAACAGGTAACTGGAAAGCTCACAGCTTTGAAGGGTTTGGATGCAAGGTTAAGAGAGATACGGTCATACCTTGATCTTGTTATTGATGAGAAGCTTCCACTTAATCATGAAATACTGTACCACTTACAGGTGAACTATTTCTGCTGATGGTTGAAAGCAAAGTTTAAAAGAATTTGTAGTCGTCAAATTTAAGTTCAGTACTTGATTGCATAAATTTTCTTGAACTCATCAATTTTTTTTTCTTGAACTTATCTACTTGATTTATCCAGAATATTGACAACAGTATATAGTTTTAGGCCTAGTTGGGTTTGTTATTGTCTGCCTCACTAATGTTACTGTTTTTCCATGCTTGAACTGCAGGATGTGTTCAACTTGCTGCCAAATCTAAACGTAAATGAACTAATCAAGGCTTTTGCAGGTAATACAAAATCAACCATACATATCTCAAAAAATCGCCGAACATGCTCATGTTCTTTCAGATTAAAAGGATATGCATTAACTTTTGAAATTCATTTATCCACATTTTCAACTTGTGCAGTAAAAACAAATGATATGATGTTGGTGATATATCTATCGTCTCTCATCCGAAGTGTCATTGCACTCCATAACTTGATCAATAACAAGGTGAGAAAGCTGCTTCTGATTTCCCTGCTATGTTTAAACCATGCTGAAGCTTGTAGGTTGTGTTTTGACTGGCAATTTGATTTGGTTTTTCAGATGCTAAACAAAGAACATGAGAAAGCCATGGATGCTAAGCCAGCAATCGTACCGGCTTCCAGTTGAAGCTGAATATCATCTGATATTACTCAGGAGTTCTAATCATGACACGGAGTGGCTATTAACTGTCATAGGATCTTCATTCCTCAGATTTTGTATTCTTCATAGCTCGATCAGGGATATCACTAGGCTCCAGAATTGAGAGTTTTAAATCTCATTGTTTTCCGTACAACTGTTCGACTTTAGTAATGAAGTGCATTTTTATTAGCTTTAAATCATGTTGAATCAATCATTTGAGTGCTAGATACTGCTTTTCCCGTCCTACAAAGTGTTCTGGTTTGTTATGAGAAGCCTTCATTTGTACTTTTATTCTATTGGTGAAATAGAACCTATGCTACATGACATCCATGAATTTAGATCGAATTTGTTACTTCCTTTCACATTAATAAAAGACCGGTAGTGTCGACTGAGCTAGTATAGATGTTGTAAATCTTTGCGGGGTATTTTATGTATATCATCCATGGGAACCGTAAATGAAAAAAGATCTTTTGCTTCTGCGTTTAACAAGCTGAGGTTGGTGTTGAAATACCTTTCTAAACCCCAGATTCATTGTTGGTGAAATATTCTTGCACGCATCTTGATTATATCAAGCATATGTTCAAAACTTCCACCAAGTGTTCTATGCATTTATGTATAGGCACGTGTCCTCCAAATTTTCTGGTCCAACGATAATTTAGGTTCCTTTTTTTTTCATAATATAATTTAGGTTCTTATAAACATAAATATTAAATAAATTAAACTTATTAGCCCGTGACTATGCAGCTCATGATGGATTCTCGCCTCCTGGTCATGGTTAACATATTCTCAATACTTGGATAAATACCAACTTAGTAATGGGAAGACAATGATTACTATTCCTGCTCTATTTTATTTCCAATAAAAGAAAGTTGCAGGTTTTGCATCCTTAATTTTCTAAACTGAATCAAGTTGGAGTAGTGAATAGGAAGTGAATGTAATTAAGATTAATTCAATTGCTTTCTGCATCCCATTTCGGAAATCAAAACAATCAATGAATGGAAACCCTTTTGTTTTCTCATCCCCCTTTCATTTACACATCTTCTCGTGATCTACACTTCCTAGCAAGAGCATGTGGAAACCGAGTTTGATCTTGACAAAGATGAAGAAGAATTCAAGAACTCGATGCAATCTTCTATAGCTTCGGCATGATGAGAGTCGATAGACTCGGCCAACGACCGTGACCTTGGAAGATTCGAAGAAGAAACCTTATGCGAAGACTTCCTTCGGATCGATACGAACCGCAACGCTCTCGCAAGTTTCATTCCGAAACGCCTCAACAATCTTGCAGGTGAAAATGAGCTCTTGACAAGCCTCAATCTAAACATCCCGATAACGGCCCTTCTTTTTCTCCTTCTTCTGCCACTTCTCCCATCCTTTAGACCGATCGTCGGCCTTTCGTCGGTGTCGGAGCTGCAAAGCACTTGCTTGATTGTTGTTCTTGACATACTGGACTAGGGAGAAGGATCTAGAGCTAAGGGGGAAAAATATACGTTTGTATGGAAGAAACTTTAATTGGTGAGTCTTAGTGAATTTGAGAAATGGGGAAGTGACAGAGGAAGAAGAATCACGGGGTAAGGTTTTGGATGGTACTTTATGATTGATGGAGTAAGTTGAAGGATAATTAATTTGTAAGTTAAGCTTTAAGCTTATTCATTGTCAAAAGTTTTGACTACAGGGGCCTAATTTATTAAATTTTGGCAAACCTTTTTGGCAGACCAATTCAATTTTCACATGCAACTGTGTATACGTGCATGAAACATGCACCAAAGCGTATTGAATGTAAAATAGACCCGCAAACCAAATTACCTCAGTAGTTAAAGTATTGTTGTTATCTTTTCATATTACGCTCACACTCCTGATATTCATAATGTTTGAACCAGGCATCTCAAGAAACAAAAGCAATTCCTTTACTACCTAGATTGTTTGGTTCCACTATGATTAAATATAGAACTTAATCATTTTACTTAAATTTGACATAACTTGGTCTTACAATGTTATTAAATCTATGTCGAAATCGTTTTTTGTTTTGAAAATATTTTTCTTTAAACTGTTCGTCTTAAAAAATTTAGAGTCATACTCAATTATTTTGAATTTATTTATAATGAGATGTTTGCATGAAAAGTAATAATGAGATGGTGAGGTTAGGTTAGGTTAGGTTAGGTTAGGTGCATATATATACAAGAATTTGAAAGGAAAAGGGAAAGCATCAAAGCAACGAGGAAAAATAGAGGAGAGGTTGGTCAAAAGGTAATAAAAGGGTTAACTAGCAGCAACTAAGCAAGGGGGACAAGCACTCGATACTCTTCTTGTCAGCGTTGCTTTTGAGGTGCTTTTTCTTTCTTTCTTTTTTGCTATTAGGTCCCTACTTTTTTTTGTTTCTCTTTTGGTACCCATATCTTGATTTTGTTATGAAAATATGAGATTGTTAACGGACTGGTCCACTTTGCAATCATATTTGAGAAGGATAAGAGGGAATCTGTTTGAATATCGGTATGTATGGGAGGTTTAGCCATCCTTATATATATATATATATATATTCCAGTTGGATTTTGCAGTTTTATGAACATAAACCGTTGTAAAATTTTATGTAAAACAGTAAGAAGTTATATTAAAAATTTAGGTTCAATATTATAAAATTTTAAAAAGTATGGAATTAAATCATAAAAAATATCTAAATTATATTAGATTTTATTTTACTTTTTTTAAAAAAGAGGATCGTATATCAGCACCTTTTTAACCATCCCGGCATATAGGATGAACTTTTTTTACTAGATGGGATGGGATGAATGAAAAAATTGCACAAGTCCTCACTCTTGTCTGCCCAAAGTAATCAACAATTATGTTAAAAATTGAAAGGAGTTGTTTTATTACTTTTGGGTTCACACCATCACCCACACTTTTTAATATATATTTTAAAATTGAACAAATACATATGTATAGTTGTGGGTTTGCTTTGGTTACCTAATCCGGTTGAGTCAAATTCAGAATAAGCTTGTGTGTGTGTGCGAGTTTCAAACACTTGACAAAACATTTCAATGCTCTAGTTTCGGTTCAACTCAAAATGCATTGGTTTTAGAAATTATCCGAATTCTTTCTTTCTTTCTCTCTCCCCACCAAAAAAAAAAACTTGGTTTTTGAAAGTGATACTAAAAATTTTAATTTTTTTTAAAAGTAATGTGTATGTAATTTTTTTTATTTTTTCTCTTAACACATTATACTAAATTTAACATTTTTTTAATTTAGTTTTATTTTCAAATTTTAATTTCTCTCTCTTTTTAATTAAAAAATTAATTATAACTTTAGCATAGTTATTTTTTTATTAAATAATAAAAGAATAAAGATTGAATCCAAAATTTGAAAACGTTTTTGCTGAGTTTTTTGGGCAGAGAAGATGGGCTGAATTCTGATATTTTTGGTAAAATGGGGGCATGAAATGGAGCCCAAGGCCCTGCAACTGTAGGGAATAAGGACAGGAAGAGGGTATCCGAATCAAGAGTATACATATATGTGTGTGTGGGGTAGATATTTTAATTATTTCTCTTTTAAATCCACATGGATTATTGCTGGATATTATGTAGATTTTATTTAATTTTTTTAATGTGTGAAGTTAGACTTTCATCAATGGGACAAGGATAATAAGAGTTAACAATCCAAGGATCAAAATATTATAATCCAAAACATAAAAGACCAGAATGTTACTTTTCAAAACTGATAATCAAAACAAGACAATTTGAAAACATGTGTAGTTTACCCTATATCAAAGTATGCATGTTAGACATACACATAGTCCAACATTTACTCGGGATGAATGTGAATATATTTTGAATTTCATCTCGGATCCAGTTTGATAGTATGTCAGTTGAGGCCAATACATATATCTTTTGACTTAAAAGTCGATTACAGCCCTCTCTAAATTTGATCCGTAGACAAAGTAATACTTTTCTACTTTTCACTTTGATTTTTAAATGTTGTGTCTCCTGTCCGTGTAATTAATCATCAAACCAGATAAAAGTATTACGATTAAAATCATGAAAAGATTCAATCAAACATATTTAATTAATTTTAAATTTATATATCATATACATACTAAAACTATTTTCAAAAAAAAATAAATGCCACAACAACCAAAGGGTGTCATCAATTTTAAACTCATAATAACATAGACCAGAAGACCGGATTACACTAAATTAAAATAAAAAGATCAAAGGCCCCGTTTGATAGTTTTTCCTAAAAGTATTTTTAACTAAAAAGTAATGTCAAACATATAAAATTTGAAAAATAAATACGGTGGTTTCAAATCAATCACAAAAGCTAAAATTTCTAACTTTTTTATTCTGACCTTGCGTTTAAAACCAAACTTGTATTTTTATCCTAAATTAATGTATGACCTCCACTCAATTATGGATTTATATTTTATTTTAATAATTTAATACTAACCTCATTGAAAAATAATTTATATTTTTAATATGTAATTTATTTTAATATCTTAAAAATAAATAAAATTCATGATTTATTTATTAAAATATTAATAGTGAGTTATTATAAAATATATTTTTATTATAATTATATTTTTTATTTGTGTTTTTATATTTTTATTATAGTTTTCTTTGAAATTAAATTGCTATAATTCATATAAGTGTAAATATAATTTAAATGTCTTATTTTTAATTTTTATAATATAATGCCTATAATGAATATTTTTATTTTTTTAAACGCATTCTTTTTTTATTGCTTCCGGTTCCAAGGCTTTGGTTAATCCGGACCAACCCACATCGTAAACTTGGTTTTGGTGGGTGAGTCTACTAACAGAGATTTTCTGCATACACAAATATTCGAATCTGAGGCATTGCTTAAGCAGAATTAAGCTGCTTACCACTTGAACCAACCCCTGTTGATTTTAAACTCATTCTTTAATATCATTATCAAACAGTTAAATTTTAAACTGTAATTTTAAACAACATTTAAAAAAAATCTATTTATACAACATTATTTTTAAAAAAAATCTATTTATACAACACTTTTAAAATTATTTTTCAATAGTAATAACAAACACTACCTATATCTAAATATTTTTATCAAATATTAAAAGCATATACTGAATGAGCTACCATGAATACTCCCTTTTGGTTCCTAATAGAATATAGAATACCCGTTATGTGTGTTCGATAGGCTCCTTCACCAAATCTTGTGTTCCATATTAATCAAAATCCAAAACTCCATTTTTTTCATCCTTCATGCAGTGCCACATCATGTCCTCTTCTCTCTCAATAAATCTTTCTCTCTCTACTCGCCCTTTCATTGCATACTCGTCAAATTCAAGCAATTCTTATTCTTGTAATTTATACATTCCCAATTCTGTTAAAGTTTTGCCTTTTTCAACAATAACAATTAGTCTGAATAGTCGAAAAAGTCGTTTTTCCGAGTTTCCAAGGTTGAAGAGAGAGAGAGGAAAAGAAGGGTCGGTGTTGTCAGAGCAAGTGAAACGACTATTACAGAGCTGAGTGAAGAAGATGGGGAACAAGGGGAAATTCCTCCTTCGATTGATTCTGAGAACAATTCAAAACCTCGTCGTATTGCTCTCTTTGTTGAGCCTTCTCCTTTTTCGTGAGTCACTCTCCCATTTCTTTTTACGTTTCATTCTTATGCTTGATTCATCTTCTTATTGTACTTTGAATGTTAGTTGATGTGATTAGTAATTGAGAGCTGTATTTCATTGTTGTTTTCTGTCAACAATGAAACTCCAAGGTCGATCGGATCGGGTCACCTGCATCGATCTGAGGAGGTTATATTTAGTGGTATCGGAGCCTAGGTTGAGTCAAAATTTTCTAGATAGACCGGTCGATCGAATGTCGAAAGATGTCTGGTCAGTATATGCCCCTAGACTACAATCGTACTTCTCTAAGCCGAAACTCCAAGGTCGAATCCCTCTCTGTAACGAGCTAACCTATGTTTTCTATTTGTTAGGGCTTGACCTGTGCATAAGAGAATACTAGTAACATTGTCTAAATTTTGTAAAGTGCCTTATGAGTAATGTGAGAGTTACTTATCCAAGAAATTATGACCCGACTCCATAAATGAATTGGGATATGTTACCGCTCTATAGACCTAACATCGTAACCAAGGTTTAATTGATTCCACAAGGCTTATCTTGGTCTGGGAAATTTCTAGAACCAGGTCGATCCGACCTGCCTGGTTCGGTCCAGTCACCAAGTCAACTCGACTGGGTCAACTCACTGAGTTAACTCGTTGACTTTGACCGAGTCAACCCGTTGACCGTTGATCATTGCCTGACCATTGACGTTTTTCAGGTACACCTATCCTAATATTTTTCGACGTCCTAAGTCTGTTTTTTAGGTCCGTTTCACGAAATTCGAACTCGGTAAGTAGTTTTTCACTGATTAACCACCTGATACGATTCATTTTTCACAATTAAGCTCCGTTTATG